AGAATGTGGTGGAGGCTCCTTTGGAGGCTTTTAAACTGAGGCTGGATGGCCATCTGTTGGGGGTTCTTTGAATGTGATTTTCCTACTTGGCAGGGGGTTGGACTAGATGGCCCGTGAGGTCTCTTCCAACTCTATTATTCTAAGTCTTTAAACAGCCTGGATGGTCATCTGCCAGGACTGCTTTGATTCATGTTCCTGTATGGCAGGTGGTTGGACTGGATGACATTTGTGGCCTCTTCCAATTCTACGATTCAATGATTATGTTAATTTAGGACTCACAATAGAATTTGGATGCAGTTGTGAGTTGCATCATCACCTTGAAGTATAAGGAAGAAGCATAACAAAGTGACTGCCTCGCTTCCAGGAAATGAAGGAGATAAAAAACAGGTATCCTAACCAAGGGGAAACGCTATATTTTCCATTCTGAGTACCTCATTTTAAATAAGATATAGGCAAGTTGGTGAGTTTAGATATTTGCAATAGGATGATAAGACACATGGAGAGCAAAACAAATGAGAAGAAGTTGAAGATGGTGGGCATATTCCATTTGGTGAAGAGAAGCCTTAGAGGCGGCATGATCACATTCTGAAAAATGCTCCAAAGGCTACCACAGAGAAAAGAGTGCAGGCTTGTTCTCTGTTAATGTAGATGATGGAACTAATGTAATGATTTTAAGTTACAGGAGGATGTATTTCAAATGAACATCAGAAGGAAGTTCTTGTCATTGAGAGTGATTTGCCAGTGGAGCCAGTTGCCTAAAAAAGTAGCAGAATCTTCTCCAGATGTCTTCAGAAGGAGGCTGGATCACTACCTGATGGGGATGCTTTAGATAGAAATCCTTCATCGGGCAGAGGTTGGATTTGACAACCATAGGTTAACTTCCAAATTTAAGATTATATTATTAAGGAAAGAAGTGCACGCAATGTAGACCATTGTTTTTAGTAACCACGGGAAGTCATTTTCTGCTGCTAGATTGAAAGGCCCCTGAAGAATTTCTATTCTGAATTTAATAGAAAGGTATGTGATTAAATACACTATTTTATATGTATAAACGCATAAACCTGAGAGCTTAATGCTGGTGTAATTTTATTTGATAAAAACTAGTATTTCACAATTTTGGACATATCGTCTAAACTACTGCTTCTGAAGCTATATAATGTGGGCAACACAATGATGATGGTTTTCCAATGTGCCAGGGATCAGCACTAAATTTGTGTCCGTTGGGTACCATTGTTTCTTCCCTCAGATACTTGTACAAATACAGCAACCATCACTTTGAATAGCACTGGTGAAATTAATGCATCTGATAGGAGTTGTAACAACAACAACAACATAATAATAATAATAATAGCAGCAACAACAGTAGTATCGTTATCATTTTTATCTCGCCTTTCTCCCAATAATGGACTGAAGCAGATAATAACTTAGTAAGAACAATGCAAAAGCATTAATAAAAATATAAATAAGATGTAAAAACCAATTAAAAGCTTGAGAAAGTTAAACATTAAAATGAATCAAAAGAATTGGGACCCAATCACACTAGAGAATGAATTCACAGGAAGAACGGGGAGAAAGAGGAAGGGAAAGAAAGGGGGAGGGAAGGAAGGGAAGAGGAAGAGAAGGAAGGAAGGATAGAAGGAAAGAAAAACAGAGAAGAAAGGAGAGAAAGAAAGAAGGAAAGAGGGAGGGAAGGTTAGCTACAGCAACATGTGGCAAGACAGCTAGTAATAATATATAAACATATGCAAGTACACAACCCAATGTCTTTCTCTACTTCCTTCCATTCCTCTATCCTTCCATTCCTCTATCCTTCCTTCCCTTTTTCCTTTCTTTCTCCCCTTCCTTCCTTCCTTCCTTCCTTCCTTCCTTCCTTCCTTCCTTCCTTCCTTCCTTCCTTCCTTCTCTTCTTCTTCTCTTCCTTCCTCCCTTTTCTTTCCCTTCCTCTTTCTCCCCGTTCTTCCTTCTCTACATATTCTTGGACTGCAACTCCCAGCAGTCCTCTTCATCCATCTACCTACCTACCTATCTATCTCTAATCTATCTGGAGGATTGCTGGGAGTTGCAGTCCAGGAATAGGAAATTGAAAATATCCAGGGATTAGGATGCTGTCAAAGAAATCCAAGGAGAAGAAAGCTTGCAGTTTGGAAGCAGTGCATTTGGATCATCCTCCTCTCCTAAAAGGCCTGGTCTAGGGGATGCTGGGAACTGTAGTCTGGAAGAGAGTGTGGATATGCTATTGTGTGCTTTGTTTGCCGGGGGGTGGGGGCGTTTTTGCACATGCGCTGTAACGTCTTTTTGCGCTTTTTTGGCTTTTAAAGTCCCTTCCATTGTGTTTTTCGGTGTTTTTATGATTGATGGTCACTCGTTGGACTGACAGGTGTATTGTGTCCAAATTTAGTGTTAATTCACCCAGTGGTTTTTGAGTTATGTTAATCCCACAAATGAACATTACATTTTTATTTATATAGACTAGCTGTCCCCTGCCCTGCATTGCTGTGGCCTAGTCTGGTGACCTGGCTTGGGCCCTCCCAAGTTGGTTTCTATTATATGTAACTAGCGGTCCCCTGCCACGCGTTGCTGTGGCCCAGTCTGGTGATCTGGAAAATAAAGTAATGAGAAAGTGTTGGTATCTAATATATGTACTGTCTTTATGCTTATGGGTAAACAGTATTTCTTGCTGTTTCTTTGCCAGTATTGATGTGGAGATTGTCTGGTTTGCCTACTCTGGAACATGCAACATATCATTGTCCTTCTTTAGGGGTTCCTTTCAAATCTTTGATCCTGCATCTGTCATATACATATGTATGTGTGTGAGAGAGAGAGTGGCTGGATGGCCCTTTGTCAGGAGGGCTTTGGTTATGTGTTCTTGCCTTGGTGAAGGGAGTTGGACTGGATGGCCTTAAGGCAGCATTTCTCAACCAGGGGTTTGGGACCCCTGGGGGGGGGGGTTGTGGGGGAGTGTCAGAAGGGTCACCAAAGAGTACTAGAAAACACAGTATTTTCTGTTGGTCATGAGAGTTCTATGTGGGAAGTTTGCCCCAATTCTGTTGCTGGTGGGGTTCAGAATGCTCCTTGATTGTAGGTGAACTATAAATTCCAGTAACTACAACTCCCAAATGTCAAGGTCTATTTCCCCCCAAACTATATCTGTGTTCACATTTGTGCATTTGGAGTATTTCTGCCAAGTTTGGTCCAGATCCATAATTGATGGAGTTCACAATGCTCTCTGGATGTAGGTGAACTACAAACTCAAGGTCAATGCCCACCAAACCCTTCTAGTGTTTTCTGTTGATCATGGGAGTCCTGTGTGCCATGATTGGTGGAGTTCAGAATGCTCTTTGATTGTAGGCAAACTATACATCCCAGCAACTACAACTCCCAAATGACAAAATCAATTTTTTGAGTGATGGTCACTCCTTGGGTCAGTTGGTATCTTGTGTCCAAATTTGGTTTCAATTTGCCCAGTGGTTTTTGAATTATGTTAATCCCACAAAAATATTACATTTTTATGTATATAGACTAGCTATCCCCTGCCACGCGTTGCTGTGGCCCAGTCTGTGTATATGTGTTTTGTGTGTGTTTATATATGTGTATATATTTGTGTATTAAGTGTATATATATGGTTTTGCACATGTGTTGTAATGTAATTTTTGTTTTGGGTTTTTTTTAAAGTCTCTTCTGCTATGTTTTTCAGTGTGATGGTCACTCGTTGGCCTGAGAGGTGGGTTGTGCCCAAATTTGGTTTCAATTCACCCTGTGGTTGTTGAGTTATGTTAATACCACAAACGAACATTACATTTTTATTTATATAGATTAATTAATGCAGCTTGACACTACTTCAAAATGCCATGGCTTCATGCAATGGAGTCATGGGAGTTGTAGTTTCCCCAAGGTCTTTAGCTTTCTCTGCCAAAGAGGGCTGCTGTCCATGGCAGTGAAAGTGGTGCTAAGTCGTTAGGCTGTTAGGAATTGTGAGAGTTAAAGTCCAAAACACCTGGAAGGCTGAAGTTTCCCCATGCCTGCTCTACAGTGTACTCAGCCATATAAACCTGAATATCAAGGCAGAAGTCCCCGGTGGCACAGTGGGTTAAAGCACTGAGCTGCTAAACTTGTTGACCGAAAAGGTTGCAGGTTCAAATCTGGGGAACAACATAAGCTTCCGCTGTCAACCCCAACTTCTGCCAACCTAGAAGTTTGAAAATATGCAAATGTGAGTAGATCAATAGGTACCGCTCCGGCGGGAAAGTAATGGTGCTCCATGCAGTCATGACCTTGGAGGGTTTTTTTTTTTTGGTCAGGTCAGGAGCGACCTGAGAAACTGCAAGTCGCTTCTGGTGTGAGAGAATTGGCCGTCTGCAAGGGCGTTGCCCAGGGGACACCCGGATGATTTGATGTTTTATCATCCTTGTGGGAGGCTTCTCTCATGTCCCCGCATGAGGAGCTGGAGCTGATAGAGGGAGCTCATCCACCTCTCCACATATTCAAACCTGCGACCTGTCGGTCTTAACCCACTGCGCCACCGGGGGCTCCTTGGAGGTGTCTGCAGACAACGCTGGGTCTTTGGCTTAGAAATGGAGATGAGCACCACACCCCAGAGTTGGATACGACTGGACTTAATGTCAGGGGAATACCATTACCTATCAAGGCAGAAAATCCCACAATATCTGCTTTGAACTGGGTTATTTGAGTCACACTGCCATATATTCCAGTCCAAAGCAGAAAATATGGGATTTTATTCAGCTGTGAGGAAGGGGCCTCAGATAACCTAATTCAAAGTTGATATTGTGGAGTAGCTTCATATTCTGGGTTATATGTCTGTGTGGAACGGCCTTGGGGCAAAAGAGAAGAAACTCAGAAATGAACTAGTTACTAAAGCATTGGCGCGTCTACGCATGCGCAACCAGAACTCCCTTGGAAACGCTAGAAAGGCCCGCCCCCTTTCGCTGACGCTCCGTGATTGGCGGGTGAGCGAGCGTCGGCCGAGGAGGGGCGTGGCTTGTTTCCCCGGTGACGCCGCCTCCGGCCCGAGAAGCGCTGGCGGCGTTGTGTTGGCAACCGAGGGATGGTGATGGCGGCGGCGGCGGCAGAAGAAGGCGACCCGGTCGAGCGGGGCCCTGGCGCCGTTTACCACATGTTCGTCCTGATGGAGGACTTGCTGGAGAAGCTGAAGCTGCTCAACTACGAGGAAGAGGCGGCGCTGCGGAGCCACAACATGAGGCCGCCCTCCAGGTGAGGAGGCAAATACAGGCCTGGTTGTTTGGGGGAGGAGAAAGTTGAAGGCCCAGGAACTTGAGCTGCCAGCACTCTTTGGTAGAGAGGGTTAGAGACTTGGTAGAACTACATATCCCAGGTTTCCATAGCACTGAGCCATAGCAGTTCAAGTAGTGTCAAACTGGATTCTTTCTACACTGTAGAACAGGCATGAGCAAACTTCAGCCCTCCAGGTGTTTGGACTTCAACTCCCACAATTCCTAACAGCCGGTAGGCTGTTAGGAATTGTGGGAGTTGGAGTCCAAAACACCTGGAGGGCCTAAGTTTGCTCATGCCTGTTCTACAGTGTAGATGCACCCATAGCTTGTCACATAATAATAATAATAATAATAATAATAATAATAATAATAATAATCTTTATTTATACCCCGCCACCATCTCCCCAATGGGGACTCGGGGCAGCCAAACATGAGGCCAAGCCCAAAAATACAATACAATAAAATAGAGAATGCAAATTCAGAAAATAATTACAATAGCAAAATAAAATACTAAAGCAAATTAACACAACATAAAATCGAACAGGATGGGCAGGCCAAATGGATGAGATAAAATGATAAAACCCTGAGTGAGGTAGGGATAGAAAATATGTAAGTAAGGGGAGCCCAAAAAGGATAAAACAGTAGGGTATGTTGAAGGCTTTCATGGCCAGAATCACTGGGTTGTTGTAGGGTTTTTCGGGCTATATGGCCATGGTCTAGAGGCATTCTCTCCTGACGTTTCGCCTGCATCTATGGCAAGCATCCTCAGAGGTAGTGAGTGCTTGCCATAGATGTAGGCGAAACGTCAGGAGAGAATGCCTCCAGACCATGGCCATATAGCCCGAAAAAACCTACAACAACCCAGTAGGGTATGGCTTTCAGTTTAGGACGGGGGAAAGTGCATCATAGGGGCAACAATATAGTTGGGGCAAACAGAAATGGGATAAATGGTCACTCTCCAAAGGTTTTCTTGAAATCTGCTAAGGAGGGGGCTAGACCAGTCTCACCAGGTAGTGAGTTCCAAAGATGGGGAGCCACAGCAGAGAAGGCTTTCTCTCTCTTTCCCACAAATCTTGCCTGTAATAAAGGAAGAGGGGCGAAAGGAGGGTCTCCCCAGAGGATCAGAGATATCGTACAGGTTGGTGGTAGGAGATGTGGTCACGAAGGTAGGTGGGTCCCAAACAGCTTAACCAGGCTGGCTCTCTTTGCAAAGTTTGTACTTACTTAATATGTCTTTGGAGAAAGAGAGCTGAGTTGGTACATCCAAGCTCTTGAAAAAGATTTTGTTTGTTGACCAGGGAGGTTCTTACAGGTTGAGTATCCCTTTCTTGCTGCTTCTGACCTGAAGGACTTTTGCATTTCCCCTCCAGATTTTGGAATATTTGCATCTATGCAGTGAAATATCTTGCAGATTACACCCAGGTCTAACCATCAAATGAACAAAATTTGTTTCTTTCCTGATACACATACCCTGGATATCATTTTATGCATCACATTTAAAAATAATAATTTTGTTTATGAAACAAGGTTAATGTGGGTCACTGTGAGTTTTCTAGGCTGTAAGGCCATGTTCCAGAAGCATTCTCTCCTGACGTTTCACCCACATCTATGGCAGGCATCCTCAGAGGTTGTGAGGTTTGTTGGAAACTAGGCAAGTAATGTTTATATATCTGTGAAATGTCCGGAGTGGGAGGAAAGAACTCTTGTCTATTTGAGGCAAGTGTGAATGTTGCAGTTCCATCACCTTGATTCGTTTCTAAGGTGGTGGGTTTTTGTTTTGTTTTTTTAAGTACAGCTATATGGACAGGAATGTATAACCTTGTGAGTTTCCATAAAAGCTCTGTTGACTGGCTATGAAAAACAGCATTACATCATAGGACACATAGGATGTGGCGTGGAAGGCTTTCATGGCTGGAATCACTGGGTTGCTGTGAGTTTTCTGGGCAGTATGGCCATGTTCCAGAAGCATTCTATCCTGATACCACATATATGGCAGGTATCCTCAGAAGTTGTGAGATTTGTTGGAAACTAGGCAAGTGTGGAATGTTGAGGGTGGGAGAAATAACTATTGTCTGCTTGAGGCAAATGTGAATGTTACAATTGGCCACCTTGATTAGCATTGAATAACCTTGCAGCTTCAAATGTTGGCTGCCTCTTTCCTGAGGGAATCCTTTGTTGGGAGGTGATTACCTGGCCCTGATTGGTTCTTATCTGGAATTCCCCTGGTCTTTATTTACTGTCCTGATTTTAGAGGTTTTTTTAGTACTAGAAGCCAGATTTTGTTCATTTTCATGGTTGCTTCTTTTCTGTTGTAATTGTCCATATGGTTGTGGATTTCAGTGGCTTCTCTGTGTAGTCTGACATGATCATTGTTAGAGTGGTTCAGTGTTTCTGTGTTCTCAAATAATAGGCTGTGCCCAGGTTGGTTCATCAAGTGCTTTGCTATGGCTGACTTCTCTGGTTGAATTAGTTTGCAGTGCCTTTCATGTTCAAGGTTAGCGTACATTGAACTACAGGTTGTTCCCAAGTTAATAAACAAGATGGATTCTGTTGGTTTGTCCTTAAGTTGAATTTGTATGTAAGTTAGAACAGGCGCATTTTTAAGTGTAACTCCATCCCAAAATATATTTTTTGTAGCTTTGGATAGCATAGGGAAGGGTTTGTTTTGCTATCTGTACCCCTGTCATAAGTTATCATCTCTCTTTCTGTCCCTGTGATAATTGGATTTTGAAAAAAATAAGGCTTGTTGTGGAAATAAAGATTGGTAATAAAGCTTCAGTTGAGGCACCTTGCCCCTATGATAACACTTTCAGGAGTGAATTTCCCGTCTGTGGGGTAGGTTTCTCTCACTTCCTGTTGTCTCACCCTGTTCTTCACTATGAGTTATTAGTAAGTCGAATGTTTGTAACTCAGAGGCTGCCTGTATTTGAAAACAAAGGTGTCACTATCCAAGCCTCACATGTGGACAGTTTTGGAGCATTCGGAAAAAGGATGCTCAATATGTGCTTTTGGTTCATACAAGTTATTTAAGTTGGATGAGCATCTTATAATTGTATAAATGTCCACATGGATGGCTGATATAAAGATACTTTCCTTTCTAATGGTTCAGTGTACTCAAACCTTGTTTCATGCAAAAAAATGTTAAGAATATAATATATAAGGTGACCTTCAGGCTATGTGTCTAACATATGCATGAAATATAAATTAATCCCATGACAAAGTATTTGACCAAATGGCCCTTCTAGCTTTAAGATTATATGATTCTGTTACTTTCTATTGGATTCATGAGTCAGTAAATGTGTATAGACAATTTCCAAAGTTGTTCATTTTTTAAAAAACAAAAAATGCAAGAAGAAAGATACTGAAACTAGGTTCCTGAAACCATTGAATGTATAATTGGAATAAGTCTGTTGTAGATTTTGCTACAGATCAGTCACACATAAGTTTTGCCCTGCATACTATTTTGTAGTTTTCTTAGTTTCCACATTTTAATATTTTTACACAGCAGTTCTGGGAAAGATAAACACAGACGATGAAATTGGACTGCGTTTTTAACTAAGAGATGCATTGGTTCGATATTGGTGGCCCAATATTGTATATTATGTATGTGTTTTTATGCTTTTTTTATGCTTTTTATCTTGAATATTGTTGATTATTGTAATGTTGTAAACCGCGTTGAGTCGCCAATGTAGGCTGAGAAACGGCGGTATACAAGCGCAGTAATAAATAAAAATAATAAATAAATAAACGATAAGGGCTTGATAGTTTTGTTAAAGCTGAGAAGCAACTTGCGCCTCAAAAAACCAGCAAACTTTCACAGGGCAGTGCTATACAAATGGATTATTTGCATTTAATATACTGAATATGTCTGCTTTTGATAAGGTGAATTCATTTGTTTTTGTTGTGTTACTTTATTTATTTGTTTATTTCACATATTTGTATCCCGTCCTCACCCCTGGAAGGGAACTTAGGGCAGCTTCACAACAAGCGTTCATTCAATGCCAAGAACAGTAATAAATAATAATAGCAATTAAATAGTTCATTAAAACATTAGATTACTAAAACATTTGTTTAAAATCACACAGGTTTAAAATACATAGCAAGTGTTCATAGTAGCAAACAAGCTTTTCCTTGGAGGGCTGCTGCTTTAGTGCAGTGGGAGGTTTGATATAGCTATGAAGTCAGTGACTTTTAACTTTCAGAATTTCTGTAAGCATGTTATTAATGGTGCTGATAGGAGGGGGAGTGACGCCAGTTACAATTTTTATCACTGGGGGTTCCACTATAAAATGGAGGTTACTAATATCAATTCTTCTGAAATAAACAGGACATATATATATATATAGAGAGAGAGAGAGAGACCATGTAAGAACTGAACATGAGAAAAAACTTGGAAAAAACTTTGAAGAAAACTGAAAACTTGGCTCTTTGAGTAAGCTTTAGGAGCCTCAGCTTAATCAGACAAACTTGAATCGGAAAATGACCTAGGAACGGCTAAGACGATGGAACGGATGAGGACTGGACATGACAACATAGTTTTAAAATTTTTATTGTTCACTGTTTTGATGTTTTTAGATACATTTACGTATGCATTTTATATATGGCATCGAATTTTGCTGACTGTTCGCCACCCTGAGTCACCTTCGGGCTGATATGGGTGGGAATAAATAAATAAATAAACAACAGACTGGTTCAAGATTGGGAAAGGTGTGTGGCAGGGTTGTATACAATCACCCAACCTATTCAACTTGTATGCAGAACACATCATGCGATGTGTGGGGCTTGACAAATCCAAGGCTAGAGTTAAAATTGCTGGAAGAAGCATTAACAACTTTAGATATGCAGATGATACCACTTTGATGCCGAAAGCAAGGAGGAGCTGAGGAGCCTAATCAACGTGAAAGAAGAAAGTGCAAACGCTGGGTTGCAGTTAAACATTAAAAAAAAAACCAAGATTCTGGCAACCAGACCGATTGATAA